TTGAGAGGTCTTCCCATTAACACTCCGTAAAATAGCGACAACTTTGGAGGAGAGTGGTTTCTGCAAACGTATGTTAAATGTTCTGTTTCAGGCGCGTTAGGTTTTGTAGTTGTTTGCCGTGAATAATGGTCCTTAGTTCATTAATATACCATGTAGTGTGTGTCTGTGTGATGAATAAGAAAATACAAAGCTAGCATTTGAGTATACTTTGGAATAAGTGTCCATACCGCTGACTTGGACATACCACAACACTATCTACTCCGAAATTAGGTTTGCGATGAATTGTAAGGCTTTTTTGAAGAATATTTTTCTCTTTCTTCCACTCACTCATTTTTCTCTTTTGCCTTGTAGTCACATTGAGCATCAGCCAAAGGCCTTCGCCCACATCCTGTATCAGGGTCGGTCTTTCCTCATGTACAGATTTGGCTAAAAACTCCTGTATGCTGTCATCATGGCTTCTGTATCCGATCAAACCAAATTACATTGTCTTAACACCCCTACCAGTCAATACACTTTTAACAGATCTTCTGCGCGCATACATGAAAATTGGGTGTGCTCTATAGACCTCTGGAGAGCGGGGTAAATTCGCCAACCATTTTATATAACCTTTGTTTCGGTAGGTACATTTACAATGTGGGAGCAAACTTAGCCACGTTTGTTGACTGGGTGGAAGTTACCTGACAGCCTTACTCGATCGACATAGTGTATGCTTTTTTGTGATATATTTAAGCATAATTAAATGCTAGGTAAGCCAGTTTGTTCTCATACTGTTCGGGCATAATTTCGTATTACACGACACCTTACGACGATCTAAGCAGATTATTTACCCTTAGGTAAACAGTTATGGAAATATAGTTGGCCCAATTGTGAAAAAAAACTCACGGCATTAGGCGGGACTGGGTCAACGAAATTAAGCAAATTTGCTAAATCTCCTAAATAATATAGTCAACGTAGCAGTGGCTTTTAGATGATTGCTTAGGAAATCCTGTTTGGGGAGTCAGCTTGCTGTTCCTTATTGATAGATTCCACAGGAGTGGTAAAGTTGGGCAGGTAATATAGATCCAAGTGTGATTAAAGTCACGGTGCAAGACGTGGCATTTAAAGCTCAACTGGTAGATCACTGGTGTCGCGTAAAGGCCGTTCCTACTATGCGAATTCAAATCCCGTCGAATGCCGCGATTTTTTTCACAGTCAAGTCAAATAAATTAAGCAAATCTGTCAAACCTCCTAAATAGTAATGGAAGTCGAAATTGGTAGCGATGATGGGCTGGGTATAGACGGTAGCAGGTTTTTTTCACGGCAGCTGGAGGGAAGATAATCATCTAAAAGGTCTGCTAGTTCAAGTTTTGGGTTATATTCAACGTTCACCAATCCAAGACAACTGAAGTTTATGCCGTTACTACCTTATTTGCGTAAGGGCGCCTGTCGAACGTTTAGCGGTGTTCTTTTGGCAACGACTTATCACTTGGTGGCAAAGGCGTTAGTCTGTAATGAATCCTTAAGGCTGTGTCTATAGCACACCCATTTAGATGAGATTACGGTCGGATAATTTTTGTATATCTGAATATGTGACAAATCGTGCGCAGACAAGGTGATGTGTGGGATGCATAGATCGGTTGTTTAGATTTGACTACTTATATGACCGAGGCGGCCTCTAGTTCTGTCTTGCCAGTGGACTGAGGTGATTCAGGGTCTGAGTATCTGCCAGATTCTGCTTGCTGTAACTAGTTTCCTATCCTATTACCCTCATTTGCTACGTCTTTTGTGCGACATTACCTCCTCCCTGTACACGATGATCCGAAGATAGCTCGTTATTCTAAAATCAGCTAAGGCCAATGCATTCCATAACTTGATTTGTCGTCCACCACCATCATTTTCTAGTACCTTGAGGACAAAACATCTTCCACGACGTTCCCGAGTACGTACAAATACCCGGTTTTTTTAACCGGACTTCAAAGTATCTATACAAGTAGTACTGTCGACTGTGACTTCTGCCATATGCGGTCTTTCTTCTACAAGGGTGCGGGATTTCTACGCAAACAGAAGGTTGTGCAACACCATTTTACGCAGGGCCCTTATGTGTCTTTCGTTGTTTCGCGTATGTGAGTCTTCTCGTTTGGCACGACGCACAGAGTGTCGAGTGAACTAATATAAGTTTTAATCTCTCGAACCTTGAATAGCATTTGGGGCAGGATCAATTTTCGCGTTTTAGCGATAGAACATTTGTGATGTGACTTGCGATCGAATACCTACTAGTCAGCTACTGTATCTCTGTTCGTAAGGGCACTTTGGTGTGACCTCGAAAAACACACGACGTGTAGTTTAAGCGTCTGTTTAATTATTTTTTAAAGGAAATGCAAACGATCCAGGCGTTTAGGTGACGTATTCGCAGGTTAGTAGAGCATTTCCATTGGTCATTCATGTAATGCAATGACAGATTTCAGTTGCTAAGCCGTCAGGAAATATCTTGAAAAAAAAACGAATCCTGCTCTGAAAGTCTCGCACAGAAAAAAATACTTTAAACCCCGGGACTGCTTATTTTGTGTGGAAAAAATAATTTTTCAATCGGGAAAGCGTAAATCGGACCGCTTGTTAGACTAAATAAAACTGACTCAGCTGCTTGACATGAAAAAATACCTCAGTACAAATTCGGAGCCAGGCTCAGAGGCGGTGGCGTTGTTTTCGTTATTGGTATTAGAGGCACACGTTCGGATCATGTGTTGGGTTGGTTAAAGTACATATCTTTTCGAGATAACTTATATGTTTATTTGCTCCTAAACGTAGGAGTGAGCATTCATCACCTGAAAATTAATTTACTAATTCGTTTGGTAGAAAAACATTGGCATTTCGGTAATAATACAAAATAATATAATGGAGAAGCCTTTCTGAACATGCCGGCACTTCACGGAATCCTAACAGTCAGATGTTTAAAGGACAAACACTGAGTGAGGTTGTAAGGAGGATTTATCTTGTAAGAGGAGCCTTCGAGTGAAGCACTGCTTATCATATTGCTAAAAGTGTACCGTCTATTGCCTCACTGATTAAATCTAAGGATTTTCTAAGGAAATCCCCATTGCGCAAAGGTTACTCACGTTGCGTCCCACAAAGTATGGGTCGTTCTTTAAAACAGGGCCTACTGCAATTTATCAATCAATAGTTATAGCAGTAATGATGGTTTGCTCAAGAGAGAACCAGCGTATTTGTACAAGTTCTTCCGGCCAACGGATATCTGACAAGCTTTATCGAAAATTGCCAAATCCCCTAAAATAGTTTATTAGCAGTAGTACTTTAGGAGATTGCATATCGAGACGTATCAAGGCTACTAAGATTAACTCTAACGGCTGCGGTCTTCCAAGCCTGGTACCTTAGGAGATGGGAGAAGTCAAGTGCCGGCAAGAATGGAAAGAAGACTATATTCGGTAAAGAAGGAATACGTCAATAGAAAGTAGGAAATTTACTACCAGACGACCGCAAAACTGCAAGCCCGTGGACGGCATCTGACTTGAGGTCTGCTCGCCAGTCGTCACATGAAGTCCTGTGTGATTCGGGCTGTGACTAACCGTTTAAGAATGTGGAAGCAGCAAGTCATTCTCAAAGTGTTGTTCGAATTCAGCTACTCACTATATGCATAAGCGTAGTATTCAAAGAAGCAGTGACGACAAATGAGGCATGATTATTTAAATTGAATATTCAGTTGGTTAGATCTTTAAATTAATTTATACGGAGACCCAAATAATAAACTCTATGTATGACCCCCTAGTTAGGTGTCTCAAGAAGTAATGTCGCCCATATAGAAGGTTTCCAAAGGCACAGTGAAATTGTTGTGGCCACCATGTCACAGCTCAAACACGGTCAAGGGCAAAATGAAACTCCAAAACTGATTTCAGTTTTTCATTGCTTTCGACATAATATTTCAAATTTCATTTAAGAGATTATTGAGGTAGTCTTCAGCTTTGGGGTCTGTACCATTTCCAAAGGACTCTATCGCCCATCAGCGCATAATATCAAAGAGAAAAAACGTTAAACTGCAAGTCCGCCAGTTTAGCGTGTTTTGTAAATCTGCATTTTAGATTTGTGCGTGTGCTAACGACTGCTTGGTGGACATGATAGATGGTTGCTGTCTGTTTACTGATACTCCGCTTTATTCGCCTGTGACGATGCGAATGGTTCCGAGCTACGGTCTGCTGTTATTAATCTTTGCTCGAAGTTCACCTACCTTATCTTACGTCCACCTGGCCACTGGTTTTTTAAATCAGTATTTTGCTGAAACTGTTGAGGCGTTGGAGGGCGCACACTGACGAGCGTATGACGAATGTGTATGCCTCGGCTTACCGTGAGCTTGTGAAGGGCCAGAGGAGGCATGAGTGCGGTGACTCATGGCGCGAGAAATAGCACAAAACCGCGAAAGGGCGTTAACTAATGCCCTGTGATGACAGCAGACACCGATGCAGGCTGCATACAATATGGTTCTCTTGTGTTGGCAGCCACGAGCTGGCAGAGCACGTGCGCTCTCAGCATAGCTAGACAAACAGTGGTTCAGTCGAAAGACCTGTTTTAAGTGCGTCTATAGAGAAGTGGGTTATAACTAGTCGTCGTCTTCGTTGGGGTATCAGCGTCATTGAGGTCGTTTGGGCCGGAAAATTGAGGACCATGGTGGTGGCTGCAGCAGCTGACGTCGCAATCCGGAAATATTTTTTGTGTCTAAGTAGCGGTAGACTAGAGACTTTTCATTCGGGGCTCAGCGGGGTCCTGTTATCGCAAAGGGGTTAAGGCTAAGCCGGTTAAACCCTAATTACTGCGATCTTCCAGGCCCGGTTAGTTAGAAGAAGGTAGAAGCACATCAGTAATCAGCGGTACGCAAAATCGATTGACTGGCCGCATTGACAGAACAGGCAGAATGAGTGATCAGTAGCAGTACTGGGGGGTGCAGGCTCCTACACTGTTCCCCTAGAGATCCGCATATAGTAGTCGCCAAAGATCATGCAACATGTCGACATGTGCGAAATATTTCTATCGCTTATCAGCATTGACTCATATTGTGATAGTGATTATCTTATAGTCTATTCTGAAGTCATTTTAGTCATGATAGGATGCGGTCCTTTCAAAGAGCCTCGTTCTGACCACCAGCAAAACGTATCTATTTTAAAAACTGGCTACTTAGGCAGTATCACATTTTATCATTTATTTTGACTGACTTTATAAATTTAAATATATTTGATGGAAAACATGTAGGAAGAAATTATTTATTGTACTTGTTTCATAGAAAATTACGTCTTCTTTAAATTTTAAACTCAAAGAAAGGGTGGCTTTCGGTTTTAAGAAAGTTGCCCAATTTTCTAACCTAGTCACTGCAACACTCGAATTAAAGTTTTAAAAAACTGCGCACTATGTGCATCCTGTTCAAGGAAAATTAT